TGTTTTTGTTTTTGCTGTTTGGTCTTTTTTGTTCTGGGGTCGCTTGAAGACGTGAAGACGAGCCAGGCAGACCGGTAAGTGAGTGAACTCCCGTCCCCCGCCCAAACAGCAAAAAAAAACACACCCCTCGCCCAAACAGCAAAAAAATGAACACGCCACACGCCCAAACAGCAAAAAAAAAACACGCACCCGCCCAAACAGCAAAAAAAACACGCCCTCCGTCCAAACAGAAAAAAGAAAGTCTCCCGCCCAAACAGCAAAAAATAAACATGCCCACCCGCCCAAACAGCAAAAAAAACAAAACACGCTCGAAAGGGGCGGGTGTGTGTTTATTGTTTTTGCTGTTTGGGCGGGGGCGTGTTTTGTTTTTGCTGTTTGGGCGGGGCCCGCGCCCCCGCCACACAAAAGAACATGATTTCTTCAACTGGACACAAACACGAGATCAACAAATTTAGGGGCTTCTCCAAATCTTGGGGCCCTCAGTTACCCTAGCGATATGTGGGATAAAAAAGGGTATAAGTGGTCCAAACTATTCAGGTAGTTTTGACAACTGCAAATGGTGAGAGAACTCCAAGGCGCTGGCGCCACTGGACGGCTGTCTCTGCTTCGTGGCACTGAGGCAGGGATGGGCCCAAGGGAGAGATTTCATCCCCCAAATACCTTCGGGTTTAGGGTTTAAGGGCCTAGGGTTCAGGGTCCTTACCTCATGTTGGCAGAGACAATCGTGACCAGCCCACAATTGAGGATCATACCGGGGCTATCGTACAACTAGGATCCATTACTTCATTCCTTGCTAACTAGTTTCAAGTCAATGGCTTCAAAATGTGTGCCCCAATGCATTCAGATGAACTCATGAATGCGGTCTGGCATTTTTCAATGGGAGGTGCGTGCAGTGTTGTAAACTGATAACGCTTCTTCTTGCGCTTTGGGCTCGTGGGGGTGGATAAGGCGAAACTTGAAGCAGCTTTTGCTTGAGGCATCTACTGCAAAGCCTGAATCATTAGCAATATAATCCCCTTCCTGCCCCTATAGCTTATGACTATAGTATCCGTGATTGTGAACATTGTCCCGTTGTAACTCTGGTATAACTACCGTAGCATCATACACCTCAAATTCTGTTCCAAGAACCTAGGCCTAGGTCCCTACGTTACTTTCCGGACTGAGCCCTCTACACCTTGGGTTCAGTCCCCATAAAATTAGAAGCCCCCTAACGGGTAAATGGTGGGGTATAGGAAGGCGCTTTAGAGGTTTTTAGCAGGAACGTCTACTGCGCTGGGGTTGATCCTATCCTGCTCCCTTCGGACCCTGAAACCCAAACCCTACATCCTAAACCCCGAGCAGGTGGTTCCTCCTGACACCAAGTTCGCCCACTTGGGGCTTACGGACGAGGACTGCCTGTCCCTGGTTAGAAGAGCCTTCGGAAGCTACACTCCCTGGACAGATGCTGCATCGCTGTTGAGGAAATAGTTTGGATTGCAGCCATCCCTTCTTAGAGGCGTCCTGTGATATGGAATATGTCGAATATGCAGGATATGTAGCATGTTGTGAGCTTTCTAAGAGAGTTTTAGCCACGGGTACCATAGTCCCAAAACGGAGTATTATGACATTTTGCGGATGGTGAGTCACAAGAAGAATCTCATCTTGTTTGGTTCAACCGCCAAGAAGACATGAGATACATTAGGAGGACCCCCCCACCCTGTAATAGTGCTATAACAGGAATTCAAGAGGGCCCTAATATAATTACCATTATCCCTTATAGTCACCATTACTGGGTGGGGGGTCCACCTAATAGATACAGCAACTGAGGATGATGTGCAAGCTGACCACTTGATAAAGTGTCTCATTATGGGGCCTGCAGAAGTGGGCAAGACTGCCTGGATTCATGCCTTCAGCCGCGACTTGCCGGTGTTTAAGTGGGATTGATGAGTGAAGGTAGGCACCAAAAGAGGGATAGATATATAGATATCTATATATATATATATAGAGTCCTCCTTAACTAGATAGAAAATGGCTTTGGGTGTAGTAGAATAAGATCCCCATATACCCCATATTCTATCTACTTAAGGGGGACTCATATATTTATACATATATATTTATATATATGTATACATGTAAGGGATCCTATAGAGGCGCTGTCAGGGATCCACTCCTCCCTTTGCGCTTAAGCACCAGTTAGGCGAAGGCTTCATAGAGAGCTACAAGGCGACGATCGGCGTGGACTTCAAGATGTGGGGGCTCAAAACTGGGTTGCTGTTAAGGAACTTAAATTAAGTTACCATAATGGGTATATATAGTAAATAATAGGGTTTCCCCAAGAGAAGAACTTAATTTAAGTTCCTTAAACAGCAACCCAGAAAATGTCCTAGCTATGATCCCTAAGAGGCCCAAGTAACCCTGGATCCCCAGAGTGGCTTAATAATGATTTGTATAGGGTCTATATGGGGATTATATGTGGTTATGTGGGGGTTATATTGGAATAGGTGGAAAGGAAAATGGAAACTACTATCTATGAGTTAGGTTTTAAGGGAGCGGTTGTAGTGGTAACAGAAGTATGAATATTAAGGGCAGCAGGAACAGAAACATTTCCCTGAACCCTAAACCTTACACCGGGGACCCCAAAATATTATAGTCCTTATTTTGAGAACCGCCCGAATAGTACTCCTAATTTGATATATCCAGGTTTAGATTTATTCCTAAACCCTAAACCCTATATCCAGGTTCAGATTGCAGGCAGAGGATGGAACCAAGCTTAAAATACAATTGTGGGACACTGCGGGGCAGCCACGCTTCAGGCCATTTGACTTAAAGTCTAAACTCCATAAAGGGGAGATCTATAGGAGACGACTAAAGGGGTTATTGAGGGGGATACTAGGAATTTAGACTATAGCTAATTTGTAGTCTCCAAAGACAGGGTTTAGGGTTGGCATACCCCTCTATGGGTGTTTCCATAGATTAGGGCCCCTTCTTTTTGGGGCAGGGGGAAAGAGGGATTGCAGCATTCAAGGTTCATGTTAGTGACCATATCTATACTTCTGGTTTTGGGGGGTCAAAAAAATCACCCAAAAGTTTGCAAATCCCTGCTTCAGGCCGATTACGAATGCATATTTCAAGAATGCAGCAGGGATTCTGGCCTTTTTTTCGCTGAAGAGCCGCGCAACTTTCGATGAGGTCGTGCAAATGTTGGACAAGGCGGAGGGGTTATTGTAATGTAGACGCCGGGGTATTTAGGGGTTATTAGGCTCCTAAGTTCCTTGTAAAATTACGGTATACGGCTCGCTCAGATAGACCGCATTTCGATACTGGTAATTCTTTAGCCCCTAATTATACCCCTTCCAAACCCCTCTATGTCCCGGCTTCCATTTCATTCTCTTCCATGATTGGGGTAGTATCCCGTATTCAAACCCCTTTATGAAAGCTTACCAGGCCATCGTTGCCGGACGAAAGTGAAAGTACCTTCTTAAGGTGCCTTGGAGAAGCAGGATATTTCTCAAAATGATCCCTATTTACCCTTCCCAAACTCCTCTTCGTTCCCAAGCATCCCACGAGTCGGTCCCCAGGCGCCATCCATTTTGAGGGGGTGAAACCTTAAGGTTCACCCTGAAACAGATCCAACAAAAAGGCCACCCCACCCAACCAGGCACTGACAGATCATCCCAGCACCCGCTGCTTCTGCATCTCGGACCCCAAAAGTGAATATGAGGATGCGATATGGACCTTGGATATATCTGGGGCCACAAGTAATAATAGGATTTTGGTAACCCCAACCCCCAAAATTAGGATCCTATGA